ACTGGGCCCCCTGCGGTGTCGTGCGGAAGATTGAGTCCGTCCGCGCCACATGCGCAACGCTCCTCAAGTCGGCGCATGGCTGTGGCTATTTGGAGGTTGCCGTTGATAAACAAAACACATTCAACAGAGTGTAATGATTCATCGCGCGGACCATAAGATCGGTTGCGGCTGCAGCAGGGTTGCACCCTTATGCTTCCGGACGCGAACGAGGCTAAAGGTTCTGCGGCTCGACTACACAACCACTTGACATACATAGTCCCCTGCCCCCATCTGGTGTGTTACCCCTGTCCTAGTCCATTCTCAGCACAACTGCAATGTTTCACACGTCGGATTATGGCTAGCTGTTGAGATGTGGAGTTGGGCCCAAGTTGGTTGAAAGCCCCTCACACTGCAACATACTTGCATGTCGGTCAACCGACGGTCATGGCTGCGGCTATGTAAAGATCCACTCCTTTCTCGCTGCTGTTGATTAACATATAAAGCACCTTGTCATTAGTTGATAGACAGATATTCCTGAACCATATTGTAAGACATGGGATTTCATTAATTATTAACGGGGATTGTGACCTACAGGGCTCGAACCGGTGCCTGTCCGACGACTCAAGCCTTTGTGAACCCTGTACCTACACCATATTTCACTAGGTCAAGCAAGCAAATATGTCCTCCCCCGCCCCTCTGGTCTGTAGTCCCTTGTCAGCATGAGGCGCAACACCCCATTTGTATGTGGAAGCAGCGGCAACCTAATTTGCATCAGTTTCAGCAGTCCGCTCACATAAGCGGCTTATCCGACCCTGCCTAAGATCAACTTCTTGAGGTTCCTCATATCTACACATTATTCTGAATCTTGATAGGTGAATGTATGTCACAAGGTATTGTACATGACGCCCGTCATGCAACACGTTTATGGCTGCGGCAGGGTTCGAACCTGCGCCCTTTCGGACAGGAGAGTTAGTAAACCTTAATCCTGCGCCTTGGACCACTCGGCCACGCAACCGTTCCGGCACACAGTGGCCACTGGGCCCCCTGCGGTGTCGCGCGGAAGATTGAGTCCGTCCGCGCCACATGCGCAACGCTCCTCAAGTCGGCGCATGGCTGTGGCTATTTGGAGGTTGCCGTTGATAAACAAAACACATTCAACAGAGTGTAATGATTCATCGCGCGGACCATAAGATCGGTTGCGGCTGCAGCAGGGTTGCACCCTTATGCTTCCGGACGCGAACGAGGCTAAAGGTTCTGCGGCTCGAACCTCTCCACCATCCACACAACCACTTGACATACATAGTCCCCTGCCCCCATCTGGTGTGTTACCCCTGTCCTAGTCCATTCTCAGCACAACTGCAATGTTTCACACGTCGGATTATGGCTAGCTGTTGAGATGTGGAGTTGGGCCCAAGTTGGTTGAAAGCCCCTCACACTGCAACATACTTGCATGTCGGTCAACCGACGGTCATGGCTGCGGCTATGTAAAGATCCACTCCTTTCTCGCTGCTGTTGATTAACATATAAAGCACCTTGTCATTAGTTGATAGACAGATATTCCTGAACCATATTGTAAGACATGGGATTTCATTAATTATTAACGGGGATTGTGACCTACAGGGCTCGAACCGGTGCCTGTCCGACGACTCAAGCCTTTGTGAACCCTGTACCTACACCATATTTCACTAGGTCAAGCAAGCAAATATGTCCTCCCCCGCCCCTCTGGTCTGTAGTCCCTTGTCAGCATGAGGCGCAACACCCCATTTGTATGTGGAAGCAGCGGCAACCTAATTTGCATCAGTTTCAGCAGTCCGCTCACTTAAGCGGCTTATCCGACCCTGCCTAAGATCAACTTCTTGAGGTTCCTCATATCTACACATTATTCTGACTCTTGGTAGGTGAATGTATGTCACAAGGTATTATACATGACGCCCGTCATGCAACACGTTTATGGCTGCGGCAGGGTTCGAACCTGCGCCCTTTCGGACAGGAGTGTTAGTAAACCTTAATCCTGCGCCTTGGACCACTCGGCCACGCAACCGTTCCGGCACACAGTGGCCACTGGGCCCCCTGCGGTGTCGTGCGGAAGATTGAGTCCGTCCGCGCCACATGCGCAACGCTCCTCAAGTCGGCGCATGGCTGTGGCTATTTGGAGGTTGCCGTTGATAAACAAAACACATTCAACAGAGTGTAATGATTCATCGCGCGGACCATAAGATCGGTTGCGGCTGCAGCAGGGTTGCACCCTTATGCTTCCGGACGCGAACGAGGCTAAAGGTTCTGCGGCTCGAACCTCTCCACCATCCACACAACCACTTGACATACATAGTCCCCTGCCCCCATCTGGTGTGTTACCCCTGTCCTAGTCCATTCTCAGCACAACTGCAATGTTTCACACGTCGGATTATGGCTAGCTGTTGAGATGTGGAGTTGGGCCCAAGTTGGTTGAAAGCCCCTCACACTGCAACATACTTGCATGTCGGTCAACCGACGGTCATGGCTGCGGCTATGTAAAGATCCACTCCTTTCTCGCTGCTGTTGATTAACATATAAAGCACCTTGTCATTAGTTGATAGACAGATATTCCTGAACCATATTGTAAGACATGGGATTTCATTAATTATTAACGGGGATTGTGACCTACAGGGCTCGAACCGGTGCCTGTCCGACGACTCAAGCCTTTGTGAACCCTGTACCTACACCATATTTCACTAGGTCAAGCAAGCAAATATGTCCTCCCCCGCCCCTCTGGTCTGTAGTCCCTTGTCAGCATGAGGCGCAACACCCCATTTGTATGTGGAAGCAGCGGCAACCTAATTTGCATCAGTTTCAGCAGTCCGCTCACATAAGCGGCTTATCCGACCCTGCCTAAGATCAACTTCTTGAGGTTCCTCATATCTACACATTATTCTGAATCTTGATAGGTGAATGTATGTCACAAGGTATTGTACATGACGCCCGTCATGCAACACGTTTATGGCTGCGGCAGGGTTCGAACCTGCGCCCTTTCGGACAGGAGAGTTAGTAAACCTTAATCCTGCGCCTTGGACCACTCGGCCACGCAACCGTTCCGGCACACAGTGGCCACTGGGCCCCCTGCGGTGTCGCGCGGAAGATTGAGTCCGTCCGCGCCACATGCGCAACGCTCCTCAAGTCGGCGCATGGCTGTGGCTATTTGGAGGTTGCCGTTGATAAACAAAACACATTCAACAGAGTGTAATGATTCATCGCGCGGACCATAAGATCGGTTGCGGCTGCAGCAGGGTTGCACCCTTATGCTTCCGGACGCGAACGAGGCTAAAGGTTCTGCGGCTCGAACCTCTCCACCATCCACACAACCACTTGACATACATAGTCCCCTGCCCCCATCTGGTGTGTTACCCCTGTCCTAGTCCATTCTCAGCACAACTGCAATGTTTCACACGTCGGATTATGGCTAGCTGTTGAGATGTGGAGTTGGGCCCAAGTTGGTTGAAAGCCCCTCACACTGCAACATACTTGCATGTCGGTCAACCGACGGTCATGGCTGCGGCTATGTAAAGATCCACTCCTTTCTCGCTGCTGTTGATTAACATATAAAGCACCTTGTCATTAGTTGATAGACAGATATTCCTGAACCATATTGTAAGACATGGGATTTCATTAATTATTAACGGGGATTGTGACCTACAGGGCTCGAACCGGTGCCTGTCCGACGACTCAAGCCTTTGTGAACCCTGTACCTACACCATATTTCACTAGGTCAAGCAAGCAAATATGTCCTCCCCCGCCCCTCTGGTCTGTAGTCCCTTGTCAGCATGAGGCGCAACACCCCATTTGTATGTGGAAGCAGCGGCAACCTAATTTGCATCAGTTTCAGCAGTCCGCTCACTTAAGCGGCTTATCCGACCCTGCCTAAGATCAACTTCTTGAGGTTCCTCATATCTACACATTATTCTGACTCTTGGTAGGTGAATGTATGTCACAAGGTATTATACATGACGCCCGTCATGCAACACGTTTATGGCTGCGGCAGGGTTCGAACCTGCGCCCTTTCGGACAGGAGTGTTAGTAAACCTTAATCCTGCGCCTTGGACCACTCGGCCACGCAACCGTTCCGGCACACAGTGGCCACTGGGCCCCCTGCGGTGTCGTGCGGAAGATTGAGTCCGTCCGCGCCACATGCGCAACGCTCCTCAAGTCGGCGCATGGCTGTGGCTATTTGGAGGTTGCCGTTGATAAACAAAACACATTCAACAGAGTGTAATGATTCATCGCGCGGACCATAAGATCGGTTGCGGCTGCAGCAGGGTTGCACCCTTATGCTTCCGGACGCGAACGAGGCTAAAGGTTCTGCGGCTCGAACCTCTCCACCATCCACACAACCACTTGACATACATAGTCCCCTGCCCCCATCTGGTGTGTTACCCCTGTCCTAGTCCATTCTCAGCACAACTGCAATGTTTCACACGTCGGATTATGGCTAGCTGTTGAGATGTGGAGTTGGGCCCAAGTTGGTTGAAAGCCCCTCACACTGCAACATACTTGCATGTCGGTCAACCGACGGTCATGGCTGCGGCTATGTAAAGATCCACTCCTTTCTCGCTGCTGTTGATTAACATATAAAGCACCTTGTCATTAGTTGATAGACAGATATTCCTGAACCATATTGTAAGACATGGGATTTCATTAATTATTAACGGGGATTGTGACCTATAGGGCTCGAACCGGTGCCTGTCCGACGACTCAAGCCTTTGTGAACCCTGTACCCACACCATATTTCACTAGGTCAAGCAAGCAAATATGTCCTCCCCCGCCCCTCTGGTCTGTAGTCCCTTGTCAACATGAGGCGCAACACCCCATTTGTATGTGGAAGCAGCGGCAACCTAATTTGCATCAGTTTCAGCAGTCCGCTCACATTATCCGACCCTGCCTAAGATCAACTTCTTGAGGTTCCTCATATCTACACATTATTCTGAATCTTGGTAGGTGAATGTATGTCATAAGGTATTGTACATGACGCCCGTCATGCAACACGTTTATGGCTGCGGCAGGGTTCGAACCTGCGCCCTTTCGGACAGGAGTGTTAGTAAACCTTAATCCTGCGCCTTAGACCACTCGGCCACGCAACCGTTCCGACACACAGTGGCCACTGGGCCCCCTGCGGTGTCGTGCGGAAGATTGAGTCCGTCCGCGCCACATGCGCAACGCTCCTCAAGTCGGCGCATGGCTGTGGCTATTTGGAGGTTGCCGTTGATAAACAAAACACATTCAACAGAGTGTAATGATTCATCGCGCGGACCATAAGATCGGTTGCGGCTGCAGCAGGGTTGCACCTGTCATGCCCCAACGCTGGAAGGCATGTGCCCGCGACACTGGGTACGCGGACCTTTGACCTGGTGGTGATCCGCGAAGGGTCGCTTGGGCCTGAACAGGCCGTCAGACTGCGCGCGCGCGCGACTAGAGGAACTGAACCTTCCGGGGCTGCGCCGCGTGGCGTGTTGTGTGACTGTTTCGCCCCGGCAGATCGCCGCCTTGCGGCTGGGGGGGGAGACAGGGCTCCGGGCTTAGACCCGGCGGGAAGGCGGCTAACCGCCTTGCCTAACGCAGGTTGCAGGGGTGTTCCTTCGGGGGGGCTCTCGCGTGAGTGTCCTCGACGTTGGGACGTAGACGCCCACGGTGGCGCAGTTTGGCCGCAATGGCCGCGCTTGGAAAAGGCGCACTCGAGTGTTTCTTCGGTGCTATTGCCTTGGGGAGAGTGAAGTATAGCGCGCACGTGCTCGGGCTGGGCGCCACTGGCGCAGGACGGCACGACGTTGTGCGAACGCAGACCTCGGATTCCAGAGCAGCAGACTCCGGGCAAACCGCGTAATCGGATTTGGATCTTGGCGACCTCCGCGAGACGGGCGCGAAGCTCTTATTGCCGGACGATAGCGCGCCTTGACTTGTGCATGCTAGGCCGCGAGCGCCTCGCTAGATAGACGAATAGCCGTTTAGCGGCGCTGTACACCCTCGTTTATGCGGTGGGCGGAAACCCGTAGTAGTTGCATTGCGACCGGCGTCAGGCTTCCGTGCCGGCCGGATAGTCGCAGGACAGTTGCAGGTCTAGCCTCGCTGTCCTTCAGGATCGGTAGCTGTTTACTCGCGCCGCGATTCATAGCCAGCACCTCCCTCGCTTAGCTCCGCTGCTACGTTCGGGGGGGGGAGTCCGCGTACCCAGTGTCGCGGGCACATGCCTTCCAGCGTTGGGGCATGACAGCTGTCGTGCACCGTTGGTGTCGGTACATTTCCGGGACAAATGCCCGGTGAGGGCGCGGAGAGACGCTAGGAAGGACCCTCGAGCGTATCTGGACGTATCTCCATCTTATGGGAGATATTACGGTCGTACTGCTCGTCCAAACGAGCTCCTACCTAGGCGCGAGCGCTTCCTGCTGGAAGCGCTTCGCTTGGTCATTACGATGCCGAAGGATATATGATATTGTAACACACAATCAGATCCCCAGCAGCGACTCTCGCTGTGGCGTTAGCCCAAGCCGCCACAATGGTGTCTCACATGCACTAGCGTGGCGCCGGCCGGGCCTGATCAACCTGGCTGGCTGCCTTATCGCTTGTGCATTATAGTAGTCAGCTCAGCAGCACTGTTGCTCGCGCGCACGTAGGCGCCGAGCTCGGACCTCACGCTAGGAAGAAGGAGCGCGGCCTCGCCCCAGCGGTCAGGCCTCGGGGCCAGTACTGGATGCAGTGAGCCCGGCTGCAGTCCAGCTGCTGTCGCGCACGCCCCGCGCGAGCCCACGGGCGGCGCGGGCTGACTTCACTCTCCCCAAGGCAATAGCACCGAAGAAACACTCGAGTGCGCCTTTCCGAAATACACATCAATAAAGCTTCGCCTGGTTCCTCACATCTCGAGATCGAATCTCGTCCGGAGCGGTGTTCTCCCCCGAAAAACCATCTCGCGGTTTCCGGCGGGGGGGGTGGGGCCAGCAGTGAATTCAAATAACGACGCCGTCAACGCGATATGGCGGGTCTACGGCACTCTCTACGCCCAGACGCTCCAGAGCTCGGTAGCAGCAGCTGTCTACGACTACATATACTGGCGGATCAGACAATCCCCACACTCGAGTACGCCTTTTCCGGAACACACATCAATAAGGCTTCGCTTGGTGTGGGCTCGCGCGGGGCGTGCGCGACAGCAGCTGGACTGCAGCCGGGCTCACTGCATCCAGTACTGGCCCCGAGGCCTGACCGCTGGGGCGAGGCCGCGCTCCTTCTTCCTAGCGTGAGGTCCGAGCTCGGCGCCTACGTGCGCGCGAGCAACAGTGCTGCTGAGCTGACTACTATAATGCACAAGCGATAAGGCAGCCAGCCAGGTTGATCAGGCCCGGCCGGCGCCACGCTAGTGCATGTGAGACACCATTGTGGCGGCTTGGGCTAACGCCACAGCGAGAGTCGCTGCTGGGGATCTGATTGTGTGTTACAATATCATATATCCTTCGGCATCGTAATGACCAAGCGAAGCGCTTCCAGCAGGAAGCGCTCGCGCCTAGGTAGGAGCTCGTTTGGACGAGCAGTACGACCGTAATATCTCCCATAAGATGGAGATACGTCCAGATACGCTCGAGGGTCCTTCCTAGCGTCTCTCCGCGCCCTCACCGGGCATTTGTCCCGGAAATGTACCGACACCAACGGTGCACGACACACCCTTCCGGACGCGAACGAGGCTAAAGGTTCTGCGGCTCGAACCTATCCACCATGCACACAACCACTTGTTGAAAGTCTAGATCGGTTGCTAGCCGTACATGCTAGACGGACTGTTCATCCCACCTCAGGGGCACCCACGGAGGGGTGCCGTAAGCAAAGCCACCTTGCAAGGTCCACCAGCACCAAGCCTGCACGACACGCAAAGCGTGAAAAAGCAAGACACAGATCCCCAGAATCACAGGACAGCACAGAGCAGGCCACGGGCCGCAACCAGCCCGCAAGAGCGCCAGGAGTCACCAGGTCCACCAGCACCGAGCCCGCAGCGCCACCAGGCCCGGGGACAAGGGGGGGCCTACTGCGACGAAGACAAGGACACAAACGGCAAGCAAGGGAAAAAACAAACACAGGGCAGCCCATCGGCGCCCACGGAATTCTCCCGCGGAAACCGTCAGGGGGAGCCGGGAGGGGAGACAGAGTCTGGGGGCCTACAAATAAACACAACACGGCCCGACTGGTTGGCGAGGAAGGGGTGAGCCGCTGGGGCCGCCGCCCAACCAGCCGGGGCGGCCCCCAGGGCTGCGAACGACGCGACAAGGGCCCAGAAGTCGGCAACAACCGCAGTACCAACGCCGACCAACTGAGCCCGAGCAAGGGGAGCGGCTTGAGCCCGAGCATGCGTTGGCGGCCGCGCTCCAGCGCCGACAGGGCCGCCAAAGCCACAACATCCCACACACAGGGACGGATCCCGGAGGGGGGGCGCACCACGAGCCATAGCTGAAACCGCTGCACCCCCGAGCCGCCCGACGCCGCCAGCACGGCGTCCAGCTCCTCGTGCAAGGTGCGAGCAACAAAACAGTCCCAAAACAGATGCCGACGGACCCAACACCTTCCCCCCTGCGCAACCGGGGCTCCACACGGGCAGCAGGCAGTCCTCCCATGACCTGCCTGCCCACGCAGCAGCGGGAACCCCGTGATACCATGCACGGCCAGCCGCCACAGCGGCTCCTTGTGGTCGTTCTCCCACCGCAGCCGCCACGCACGCAACCATTCGACACACAGTGCCCACTGGGCCCCCTGCGGTGCGTTACGTAAGTTCAAGTCCGTTCGCAGCACATGTGCAACGCTCCACAAGTCGACTCATGGTTCCTAAACATTATTCAGAGCACGGCCGTTCCGTCATCACAGCACGGCCGTTCCGTCATAGCACAGCATGTGCCCACAACGTGCACTGCTATACCTGAGAGAAAACGGAGCAATATCCTTCAAAAATGAACTTATAAATGATAGCACACCACTTGCCGCGAGCCCTCAGGCGGGTGCTTTAGCGGATACCGTGTCGGCAGCTCATTTAAACTCCCCGATCACAAGAGCATATAAGGCAAATGCCGATATCAAGAGGCAACCAGAGTGAACTTGAGGAACCGGTACGTTACGTAACCTGTACCATCTCGGCACCCGAGCTGCTGGGCACATCGTATGCGACCAGCTGACCGACTCAACAGGGTTTTGCAGCAGACGCGAAACTCGTAATCCCTGCAGTAATTTCTTAAAAGCTTATCGAAGCCATTGAACTTAAAACTACACAGCCAATTCGTCAGTACTTTTTTGCATCGCCGTTATCTCTGCTGCGTGCTGCCTCTCGAACCTCACTCGCAAGCGCACACGTTTTACATAACATCAGGCTGTAACACTTGCAACGTTTCCATCCATGGCGACTGCGAAGCTGGTTGCAGCTTATGACAAGCTGGGCATCGTGTCGTCCGCCAGTAAAGCGGAAGTGAGCTGCAGGGCTAACTTTCATATTTCAAGGGTTTATGGGTTATTCGAGCGGATGGCAAGTTGTATAGTGGAACGCCTCACCTGCGCACCGTTGAACTCGCAGTTTACGAGGAGAAATACCCGCAGTTCACGAGGCAATAACATTCTCGGGGACGAGACATATCATTTTGGGGAAAATCTGATACCCAACGAGGGCCATACCGCTGCATCAGCTTTGCCTCTCCTCTCTCCCCCTAGAGGCCACGGCCTGCGGCCGTTGGGCCTCGTCTTCCGCCACTAGCATGCAGCCAGAGAGGGCTCTCCCGAGCGGCGCGGCCAGAGAGTCGCATGGTTGGCACCAAAGCAGACACGCTGGAAGGCGAAGAAATAATCGCCTTGCCATCGCTTAGGTGGATGCCAGCCCCGGCATCCACCCAAGCCCCGCACGAAGTCCGAACACGGAAGAACATACGCCAAGTCCAGTGCTTGGTGTCCCCTTCACATTTCATCCACGAGACTTCCTTCCCTGTCAAACGACAAAACCGATCGACGACCCTCCCAACGACCTGGCTGCCGGCGCAATGACGGCGCCGTACTGAGCACTCACGTTTTGCGTGGCACGTGCTCCGACACCGCCACCGCGTAACACCCCCCCCCCCACACACACACACAAACC